CTTTGTTATTTTGCATAGTATGGTATTAATTCTTCATTGTGGCAAGTATACGTTCAATTTCATAGACATTGAGTATGGGGAGTAACACAGTCCTCTCGGCATAAATTGAACAAAATCATTATTTGACTAGAAGATAATTTTGAAAATACCATTTAACAACCCTAATAAGCAGCAGTATGTTTCCTGTGCCTTTTCTCTTATTTTGCTTATTTATGTTAATTGCATCTCACAAACCAAACTTCTGCAATGAGTACAATTATATAAATCAGCACTCTGCTTTTCCATTGACAGCCATTTTCCTAAGAGATTACAGCAGGAAGACTGATCAGATTGTTCAACTGAAAAGCAAATGCATATCCAGTAGTTCCTGATGATAAAATGTGATAATTCTTACTTACAAAAAAAACCCACCCACATTTAATTTACAACATATTCCTCCAGATTTAGTTTGTGACACACCGCTTGAGAGTCAAGTACCCGCTATAAATGCAAGACAGTTACAGTCAAGATCACCAAAATCCTTAACACAGAGAAGTGTCAGCATTTCTGCTACCTTTGTTTTGCTCTTCAAGACCACAACTTCTTTATAACCATTAGATCCCACCCTTTAACTGTGAGAACTTGCCAGCTTTGCAGCGCTAACAGACCTCTTAGTCTCAAACTGGAAGAAGATTAAATAAAGATTCAGTTTAAAAGTCCTTATGCAAAAACCTTCAACTAAAAGAAAGACTAAAGCTAGAATTTCAAATTCAATTACACCTGATTTATTGATTTCTCTTCACTTAACTTTCAAAGTAAACATGGTATACAGTTTAACTCATGCACTTCTTCAAAAAGCACATCCCTCAATTGCTTTCTTCCTGCCTCAAGTCAAGGCCCAGTTTTGAAGTGTCAGACAAGCTGATGTGTGACTAGAAGAGGCTGGTCCTGCTGTCCCTCCTCCAGGCCATCTTCAGCACAGACATCTGTCCAACTCTGCAGTTAGCAAGTTCACAGAGTTAAGGAGCCAGTCAACTAACCCAACCAAAAATGCTGTTAGCTGACCACTAGTTTGGCTCCCTGAGGCAACTCACCCCAGAGCCGTGGTGGCAGCGGCGCTGGCACGAGGGAGACGGGGTAATACCTCAGCAGGGAGGGCACAAGCCATGCTTCTGGAAGCTGTGAGACCAAGGTTAGCTGCAATGACGCTGCATTTGTGCCATCTTTGCAAAAACTGGCCCTGTGTTCAATCCCCTATCCTCCAAACGATGGAGGAAAATAGAAAAATTCAATTAATGGGGTGCAGTCTAAAGCTGCCCGAGTACCTTAAGAGCCTTACTGAGCTACAGACTCAAACTCGAAGTCTCAACTACTCTTTTGATTTTTTTTTTTTTTTTGACTGAAGCTTACTGTTTCTACACAGAAGCACTCAAGTCCAGATCTCTGCAAACTTATTCCTAAAGGTAATGCAAGCATTTCTAATAAGGAAAAGAAAAAAAGACTTAATGAAGGCAACCCAGATTAGCTAAACGATACGTCATAGTGGAATAATTCTTCTGTTAAAGATCATGCAGATGTTATGATGGAGGCAAAGAAAGCCTTTCTTTAGCTACAGCACAGCTGCTGCATACAACTTCAAAAAGACTTGGCACAAGACTTCAGCCACAAAACTTCCCCCTCACTTCATTTCATGCGTGTCATCTGAAACTTCAGCGAGCTGCACCAAGGACAAAACCGACACGAGGGTTGTTTGGAACATCTTATCAACAGTGGGGCAGCTCCTCGCACTGCCAAGATTCACGTGCACCTTCACAAAACTCGACTATATGTCTCCATTCCTCCTCAACCCAGCAATCCCTCAAAAGCAATGATATCCCACACTGCCGTCCCTTATTTATACCTGCATTATCTTCTACATTAGACAACTGAATTACCACATAATTAAAGTATATTAAAACATCAAAAACAGCCATAACAAAAAGTAAAGGAAACTATCTGTAAAAGTAACATTAGAAAGTATTATCAACTGCTGTTCATATCCTTCATACACAGAGCTACCCTGAACAGTCAGACACCCAGAGCATGAAGCTGAAAACGCTGTAACTTACAACTACGTTCAATGTACATGCTTAATGCCAGTCTTGTATTTTCCACATAATATATGCACTACAAATATATATTCATTGTCTAAAATCAAAGTTCAGCTTTTCCTTTTAAATCTGTCACAGTATTACAGCTAGTTATATACAGCACACAAGAACTTGCCTTGATTTTATATCTGTAACAGTAAAGCACACAGAACTTAATTTGATCTGCATACTAGCATTACACCTGTGATTTCCTTTCAGTGATGATATTGATAGGAGATGTACCTGAGAAACCTAAACTGCTTTAAGACGCGTGCATGGGTATGAGATTAAACTGGAGCATTCCTGACACATAGGAACAGAATCTTAGGAACTGTTTTTAATTTCTCCCTTTTTCTTCTTTTATTAATGCATATGACATTAGCTCATCAACTCTTATGGCATTCTTAGCTTCCACCATGCGAAGCCATAAACCAATTTGTCACCTACAGTATTCTTCCCACAACTGTGAAGTTACAAAGAATAATGACTTCAAACGAGAACACAGCAGTAGGAGCAATTAAATTTTGTTAACATTCAAACTTCATAAGTAAAACAGCAGAAAAAATGGCAGAAACAAGGAAATACAAGCAGAAATGCACTGAAAGAGGGTGGGTTTTTTTTTTTTAAAAATTACTCAGTTACTTCATTACTAAGAACTTGATAAAAAGCTGGAAACCCACGACTTTAAAGAATATTAGTAGTGTTGATTAAAAATGGTGAAGAAAACTCATTAAAGCAAAGGTCAAGCTTGAAATACTAGAAATATTAACCACAGTATTACTGTATTCATGAAAACATAACTCTTCAAAATGACCTACTTTGATAACAGCAAAAAATGGAAAGAATATGGGCACTAACCCCCCAACTCTACTGGTTTTATAAAACACCATCTACTTCTCAGAATTAGTAACAGACTCATGAAACTGAACCAATTTGTTCAACAGATGTTTCAGTTAACCCAAAGGAATTTTACTTTTCTATTGTAGAAATAGAGCACGCTGAATAAAATTCCACTATTATTAGCAGCTTTCAAAAGATATTAGCTCAAAATTAGCTTCCATTTCCATTCTTTCTTTCTTTCTTTCACATAACAGAAAACATTTTCCATACTGGATTAGACGTGCCACCGAAATAAAGTAGGCACATTGATAAAACAAATCGCCCTTCTCCTCCCCCCCCGCCTCGCCCCCCCGTTTTATGGGATATGCAGGAACGGCAGAGTTTTTATTTTTCATGGCGTTCCTCTCTCCACATTAGCCGATAATCTTCCCCGCGTAGCTCTGCCAGCGCGCTGCCCCGCAGGCCCACAACACCCCTGCTGTTCCAGTCCCGTGCTTTTCTCCAGCGGGCTCTGCAAATTGTGCGATCCTTTCGTAATGTGTGCTATTGCATCAGTCTAATTGCAACATAATTTTGAATGCTCTAGGTAAAGCAAATAATTTCATTTTTAACTCCTGCTCATGAAATACAGATTGTTTCCCCCGCTCCCCCCTCCCCCCTGCCTTTTTTGTTGATGTTATTTAAAGATTTAAAGAACGACTCGCACTGCATGGCAGTAGTCAAACAAAAATATCTCAGGTTTTCTTAGAAAGCAGCACTTAAAAATATTGCTTGGCGCCTAAAGCATTACTGCAGCCTTTCACAGAGCCATGTACAGTAGATCCCCCATGAGCAGGCCGGAAGGGGAACGTGCATTCTTACTCTGTGTATTTAATATAAGATTTAGCCATTATCAAAGCTTCATAGCTTTTACTGTCTCTCTCTCTCTCCTGCAATAGAGAGTAACAGCTTATCTGGCAAACACACTCATTTCTAGGCACCGAACACACGCTCTTGGTTAATTCATAATATCTGATCTAACATTAGATATTTTGCATTCAGGTTAGCTAAGTTAAAACAATATTTAGCTTAACCATGCCTTGGCCAAAAAATTCTGTTATCTACTGATTACAGCAGCATTGTAGCTAGCTATGGACATGACACTGGGAAAATACAAACCCTGAGCCTGAAGAAACGCTGATGGAATTCTGACCTCAAGCCATTCTGATAGTGGGCATTACAAACACTGTCTCCTTTGTATCCGATACAATAACCAGGCACAGGAGGCATGTGCCTGCGATGAATGATGAATTTACACCTCATTTTGGTTTCATGTATGTATATTATCTGAGTTGACAGCATCTAAAAACGCTGTGCTTCTCGCACCCCAAATCATATTACGTGATACAAACATCTACCCTGAAACCAATCTGCAGAAGCAAGCACTCACCGGAGAAAATGTCAGAAGTAAGTTTTAGAGAAACCTAAACTTTGCCTTTTTTTACTTCTGTGGCACGGTATATACCGCAGTTATGTCACACAATTTCCACAGCACCTCTGCTTCATTCAGCGTACAGAATTACCATTAATCAAAACAGAAATCTGTTTTACTCTTGGTATTTGGCATATGGTCCAATACCTTATTTACTGCATGCTACTCACATTTTTTTTTTTGGAAGACAGAACAAGTAATTTCTTTGTAAATTCAATGGTGCAGCTGAGGGCTTCATCAACATAATGGTTAGTCCTACTATTACTCTGTTACTCCTAACTTAGAATAACAGTGTTATTGCTAACTTCCTAACTAAAGCGTTGACAGCTTTAAGGTCAAAACGATTCTCCAATTCTGAAGACAACTTTGTCTCCAGCTTGGCAAAACTCAGACCTAATTTTTTTACAGCACTTAGCATTACATTGTGCTTTATATAGCACTTTCAAACCTCAACCCCCACTGCCTCACTCACACTTATCAGTGCTCAGCACTTTTCCAAATCAAATCCAAAGATCTCAAGTCATCCGCAAGACACATACAGTTAGCAAAGACACGAGAAAAGCCAGGATTAAGCAACTTACCTAGCATCACCTAGGAAGTCTGCAGCACAGCCAGGAAGAGAGTCCCGTTCGCTGGGGCAGCATGCAGCTGCGCAGAGCACCAGAACGGCTTCTGCCTCCTGTGATCCCCTGCCTCGCCTGCCACGCACGTCCCGACTTCTGCTGGAAGTGAGGCAGGGGTACTACAGAGAACAGCCTTCTCCACCGCATCAACCGGATTCATTCCCAGAGGAAGGCCATCCTGTGCATGAAACGAAGCAGGGGTCCTGCGGAAAAAAAAACCAGCACGTCAGCGCATGTTTAAATACCATTGAATTGTAAAGCTTCCTCACAAGGGGCCAAATGAAAGAGCTTTGCAAAGACAAGCTCAGTTTTTGACATTCCTTGACTTGGACACTGCCACACTGCAAAAATGTTTGCATTCGCCACGTCTAGAAAAAAGAAATTGAGACATCAGACCTTGTACGGCGGGGTCACACTGACACCTACAAAGAACAGCAGTGGGGTCGAAATCTTCAGGTATACCGTGCAGCTCTTGTGGCAAAGGAGTAAACTGGTTGCAAACGCAAAACAATTCTCTGCATGGGGACTAGCCATAGGTGATGGTTAAAAACA